TTCTCAGCCTGAACAAATATCCAGATTCCTTTTCTATTTTTTTTTTTTGCTGCCATGATCTGAATTGTGGAGAATAAGGGTATAGTTTAGTAATACTTTAAATTAATCAATAAATGATTTTTTGCATCTAAATGTTTATATATATATAGTATATATATATATATATAATGTTATCTTCAGCTTATGTTTATTTTTTATATCTTAATTAAGCAATGGAACATTTTTGCTCTTTTTGTTAAGTCCATCTATTGTAAAATATTAATAAAGAAGCAGCGAAAAATTGCCTTGCCAATCTCCATTCTCTCAGTTGGGAATAGGCCTTAGGCTAGCTATAGACAGGAGATAGTTGTAAGAAGATACGATCATTAAAAGATCTTTCCTACAAAAGGTCATTCCATAAAAGCGCACAATTGTTTTTGGCCAAATGTGCATGCGTTTTGCAGACTAGACACCCTTGGCTGAAGCCTTATCTCAGAGAAACAATTGGGATTGTTAGTATCATTTGGAAAAAATCTGTCCAAAAAGAACTGATTTACTGTTTAGCTAAGTTTGCAAGGATGTTAAAATGAGGCACTTAGGGTTAGGGTTCCTCCCAAATGCTGTTTAGGAAAGGGTTTTCCAAGTCAAAGTGCTTATTACTAACTTCTGAGTTTGTCAGACATTGTTGCTTGACAACAAACCGAATTAACCCCATGCAACAAGAGGTTTCGTTTGCACACATTTGCAAATATATGTGTAAGCTGCAGAGGCCACATCATGGCACCCCAGTGTACTGCAGTCCTAACTAAATAAATGTTGAGAGTCTCCAAAGTTAAAGCACATATATATTAATGGATAGATTAAGGGCAGGTATTCCTGGATGGAGCCCACCCCTCCTTAAAGATATAGGAACACACTGAACACCCAGCAATAGCACAATGGCAACGAAGGTACCCAGTGTGTCCTCTCACCAATTCACCAACAGTACAAACAAATGGCAACCACCTCATTCTATAAATGGCATTTGCAGCAAGGAGCACAAGAAAAGGATGACGCATGTCAAAAAAGAACAAACAAAATTTCCCAACTCACTTACCAGACAGCCTGTGACAAACTAAATTAACCCTGTCTAATAGTTCACATTAAAAAAGGGGTTTCATTTGCACAGATTTGCAAACTGTTTCTTGGAAAAGTAAAAATAAACCCCACTATAGAGAAGATTAGGGGATTGGTAAACGTGAGGGTCAGTCCACTCAGATCCAGAGATGTAGAGGGTGGAGGGCAATGCTTAGTAATTTAATTTTTATCCAGACATTGCTGTACTATACTAGTCTATGCCATTGTCTTACTATGGGCTATCCAGTCATCTAGAATCCCTGCTTGGGATGCAAAGAAGATATTCCCACAAACTTAACATTTATAGGTAAAGTTGATCCAGGGAATATCCGATTGCCTCTCCAGGAAGGGATTTTTCCCCAGCAGGAGCAAATTGGATCATGCTTTGCTGGGTTTTTGCCTTCCTCTGGATCAACTCTGGGTGTAGGATTATAACTTTTTTTTTTTTTGTGGTTGAACTGGATGGACTTTTGTCTTTTTTTCAGCCAGACTAACTATGTAACCTCCACTGCAAGTTCCTTGTTATTCCTTCCCATACAGAAAATCTAATGTAAAAGAAAGGGGCAGACTGACAACTCATGGGGCCCCCGGGCAATAGGGGATCATGAGGCCCCTGTGTCCTTGCCCAAACTCAAAAAAGCCTAAGAAAAAGGTACCAGGGGCATCTCATGGGGCCCCCTACTGACCTCGGGCCCTCGGGCAGTGCCTGGGTTTCCAAATAGTCAGTCCGCCCCTGGTAAAAGAAATATCAGCACTACATTCCTCCCAGTCACCAGTTAGATTTAAACCAGTCTTGAATGTTTGAATATGAGTGGTGACACAGCAAGCAGAGAGAAAAAGACATGGAGGTAGACAGGTAAGTCTTTAAAATACACCAGTAAGCCTGTTATATGTCCTTTGGATTTTGGTTGCTGTGGATGACATGGAACCCAGATTAGGTAAAATGAAAGGACTTTATGACATAACACAATTGAAGTGTTTGCTGGATAGAATTAACACCTCACTGACTGTGTTTACTTATTGCTTGGAATTGTCCTTTAAAGTGAAAATATATAAGTGTAAACCCTTATATAAGCCCTGAAGTGAATAGTATCAAGTGATACACAGGGAAGAAATAAATCCTTCTAGATAAGTACAACCTGTATTTTGCAGTCTTTTCTCCTCTACAGCCTTCTAAAGCACACAGATCAAAGGGTATTTCTCAGTTTCCAACAGGCAGGGGGCAGATATCTAATGTCACACACTGCATAGCTCAGAGCAGAGAGCTGAGTGTAATGTGAGACCTGAATGAAGGGAAAGGACTCACCCCCTTCAACACAGGCTCCCCAGGAAACGTGAGACTGTCAATCAACTACATTGCAAAGGTATGTGGGTGGGGTGGGGGGATCATCTCCAAGGAAAAACTGTCAGAAGTAACTTATGCAGATATCAGAGGAAGCAGAAAGCACACAGGAATCACACTAAGTGCTACGGTTTGAAGTATACACAATATGAGGATATACTTTGTTCATTTTTCATTTCAGAGTTTTAAAACCACTTTAAGATAATTGTACTTTTACAGAAAATTTTTAACAGTAAAAGTTGGAAAGCAACTTGAAAAGAAGCATACATTTCATTTCTCTTGCCCTAGTTTACATATATATATATATATATATATATATATATATATATTCACTTATTAAAAACAATTATTTTTGAACATCATTGGTTTAAATTAAAGTCTTGCAATAAACTTAACTAAATTGAACATTTTAACATGAAGATAAAGATAATTGCTATGTTAACGATGCTGTAATGTTATTCATAGACACTAACAATCTATTCAATCTAACAATCTATTAAAATCATTAATATTTTTAAAAATATGAATTATTTATTTTATCAGCTGAATTCCAGCCAAACACCTAAATGCACAAGAAAAAAAAAATGAAAGGCAGCTGTGCTACCTGCCAAAGCATTTTTGTCTGTCTGAAATGTATGCATATTTGCCATACAGTCCTGTCTGGCAGGACAGAAGACCTTTTTTTTTTTGTAAAGCGGTTAAGTAATACTTAGAGGTATTGTCCCCCCCCCCCCAGCCTGTCACTGGGCAGTGAAAGGAAAAGCAGTAGACCAATAAGATGAGCTCATCTCTTTTTCACTCTGCTCTCTCCTCTTATCAACATGCTCCTTGTTAGCACATGAGCACTGCGACAGAACTGATTGTCTCCTTGTCTTGCTTCTATCCCGTCCAGTCTAAATCACCGTATTCACGCTGAGAATATCGGACGAAAGAGTGTCTGCTCTTTTTTTTACATGCTAGTCACATACCGAAAGTGAAGAGGTTACTAAAGTTCCGAAAATTCTTTCACGGCAGCATAACAATTCGGAAATTATGTAATGTATTTAGATTGTATTTTCGGATGAAGACTGTAGTGGTTAATAGTGAACATACACAATTGGCACTATTGGGTTTGGAAATAGGAAATTTCTGCAAACAATTATGCACTATTGTACATATAACTGCTGCATGACTTACCATATTAAATAATGGAAACTAGATTCTACACCCAAAGAACAAAAAACCTGTGCTTAGGTAACTAAACTAAACCAATAGCATAGAAAAGCAGCTCGCACATTAGGCAATAAACATAATACAAAAAAACGAAGCGCTAATCATAAACACATAATGCCAATACAACATAAAAAGTCACAATTCATAAAGTCCCAATAATATTCCCATGGTCCACCATCACCAGGACACCCAAATGGTTCAGCCTCTTACCAGAACTTCTGACCGAATAACTCCAGTCAATATAGGCAACTCCAATGGGAGATGAACATATGAATCTTGGAATCAGTAGTCATTATCCAGGTTATTATCAGTCTTCCCCTTTAAGAATCTGAAGTAGGTCCTAAAAGAGTACTCTTGTCCAACATTTAAGTAAAGGATAAAAGAAAAAAAAACACTCATATTGTAATATTTGAGTAATAAAATCACCCTGTTTAATTTCAAGTTACTCGTACATTTTTATGGATGGTTACCAGCATTTGTATTAAGTTTCCAATCTAAAAAATGGCTGCCGATCCTCCAAAAGAACGTGATGATGTCACACGCCGAAGCTACACCCAACTTATCAGAGGTCGTACACAGGCTCCATCTGCAATGTTCCTATGGCTACTTATGGGTCATTCTGGTAATTTAGAGAAAGTCAGACAAGAATGGGAACCTTGGATAACCACCTATAAGTTTTAAATAAATTTTCTAGGTATGACAGTCATACGGTTAGAGTGCAACAGCTACCTTTTGGAAATGTTTTCCACCCTCCTTTTTTTCTTTACTTTTATTTTTTTTTCTCTCCAAGTTGGTATAAACAGCAGCAACCTGCTGTCTCCTAGTTGATGTCTCCAAAAACTCAGCTTGATAAGAGCTTCTAAATAGCATATATTGTTACTACTAGGCATGGATCTGTATCTACTGGTTTCTTCATTACTCTACAACTGTCATTCTTACAACTGTCCTTAGTTTGAGAACTACACTTATTTGGTGACTACGTTTATATTTTCCTTTTTTAATCTTTCAATAAACATTTAATGTGTTTAAAAAAAAATAAAATTGTAATATTTGATATTGTACGACAATTTTTTTCTTCCTTGCCCCTTCGAGTAATTTCGGACGATTGCTGTGTACTAATGATCAGATTATCGTACGATTGCTTTGAAAAGCGTAATTTTTTTGTACAATTTTCTGATCGTGTATACGGGGCTTAAAGTGTTACTAAACCCACAACAGTAAAATCAGTCTGTATATGCAGTAAAGCATGCTTGTTATACTCGTTGTGGAACCTAAGGGGTTAATCCTCTGCATTGTGTAAAAGGGCCATTTGATCCTGACTTCTCTGCCCCTCCTCTTGTTCAAATGTCCATGCTGGTAAGACAGACTGAACCCGTGTCCACATGCACATGATCAATTTAGTGTGTATTGCTAGAGATTTTTTTTTTTTTCTTGAGAGAGTGCATGTGATCAGCACAGGACCAATCAGCACTGTCCAGACAGAGGGTCAGGGGTTTGCATCCTCCTAGAGCAGAAAGAAAACTCCTCCTACAAGCTTTAACCAGTGCTCTGCTGAAGTCACAAGACTGCTCTAACTGCTGATCAGAAAAGGTATTTAGCAGTTTATATTTACTAGTGAATGCAAGGTCCGGGGACACCAGATATAGTGAATGAAGGGTCCGGGGAGACCGGATATAGTGAATGCAGGGTCCGGGGAGACCAGATATAGTGAATGAAGGGTCCGGAGAGACCAGATATAGTGAATGAAGGGTCCGGGGAGACCGGATATAGTGAATGCAGGGTCCGGGGAGACCAGATATAGTGAATGCAAGGTCCGGGGACACCAGATATAGTGAATGCAGGGTCCGGGGAGACCAGATATAGTGAATGCAGGGTTCTGGGAGACCAGATATAGTGAATGCAGTTTTCTGGGAGACCAGATATAGTGAATGCAGGGTCCAGGGAGACCAGATATAGTGAATGCAGGGTCCGGGGAGACCAGATATAGTGAATGCAGGGTCTGGGGAGACCGGATATAGTGAATGCAGGGTCTGGGGAGACTGAATATAGTGAATGCAGGGTCCGGGGAGACCAGATACAGCGAATGCAGGGTCCTGGGAGACCAGATATAGTGAATGCAAGGTCCTGGGAGACCAGATATAGTGAATGCAGGGTCTGTGGAGACCGGATATAGTGAATGCAGGGTCTTGGGAGACCAGATATAGTGAATGCAGGGTCCTGGGTTTAGTAACACTTTAAGCTCTGATGTACACTGGATTTCAAGAGGCCGATACCAAATCCAATTAAGATATTTACACTGCTAGCATTTAAAAATGATATCCTTAGTGTCCTACTTAATTCAGAGCTGCATTTGTATCTTTTTAGATATGCCTGAAGTTCAGCTTTAAAATATTTAGAAACAAACCCCCAGACTTTTATGGCTTCTCTTTTATTTTTAGACTATTGCACATAATGAAAAAAAAAGTTGTTTATCTCTATTATATTTTTTGATTTATCTAAATGAACAGCACCTGATATGTGACTGCAAATCATATGCTGCTGCAAATATTCCTTACCAAAAATCAGCCTTTAATAAAGACCGGCATAGGTCATACTGTCAAGGATAAACAATCGTTCCGGAATCCTTTGGTTTCAGGCTATCATGAAACAGTATCTCGGTGGTGTTTTTGTCTGACCCGGCATGTCTGTTAATGTGCAGCATTTTTATAAGGCTGGTGTCTTTTTCAACCGCATAGCTCCTCACTGCAAGGCATTTGATTTCTAGTAATTAATCAGATCATCATACATTCAGTGTTTCTCCTTCAGGCTGAGTTCGTTAGTGATCCCAATCTGACCTCGGTAATAAAAGAAAACCATTCATGTTCTTAAAGCACTAAGTGAGTCTCGGGGAGAAACAAGGGATATCAGTTCACGATATTGTCACTGGATGGCAATTTTCTGCCAGTGCTGTGTGTAGTTTTACTGGCGAAGGATACTCATCAAGATAAACAGGCCTGCTGAATGTCCCTTAGATGGACGTTAATATGCCTTTCATTGTTCTCTTGTGTGAGAAAATAGACTAGATAATTCATGTAATCCTGGAAATGAACACTAAAACCACATTTTATATTGCTCTCTTTTCTTTCCAAGTTTTTTTTTTTTAATGGTATCATTGATAAGCATCCAGTAAAATGGTTTACCAATATTTGAGCTCCAAGGAAAAATCTAATAATAATAATTATAATGAAAACAAAAACTTCCGGTAAAAGAAGTCTGTTATGGATGGAAATCTTCATGAACTGACAATCGTGATTTATTTAAACTCCCTTCTGGACGAATTAATAAAATGGCTTTAAAGTGGGAGTAAACTCCATTTTTTGCTTTGTACCTACAGGTAAGTCTACAATAAGGCTTGCCTGTAGGTACTATACATACATTTGCACCATTTTGGAGATATTTACATGTGAAGCAGCTGGTGGCCTCACTGGCACATGAGCACTGTGCTCTCATTGGATGACATGCCATCCATTGAAAAAAGCTGTGCCACACCTTCCTTGATATATCCAAATTCACTGCCCTGACTCTTTATTAAGCGGATCTTTGTTATATGTCTCGAACCCCTCTACACCATCCTAGGTGTCACACATTCTTTCCCCATTCCTCTATTCCCTCTCCAATCCTTCCTATTCCCTCCCTTCTACTCCCCCCCCCTCCCCCCTGACCCCTCTGAACTTGTTTTTCTCTTCTCTTTTCTCGAAACCTTCTTGTGTTCCTGGGGAGTACACCTCCATATCCACAATGTACTTTGATTATATATGTCAACACACAGTTTTGCCTTCCCTCAACCATCCAAGCCGTTGCATTTTATGTAACTGTGCTTTCCTACCCACCACTATATGGACACCATACATGCTTTCGCTAATTTTCCTGTACATATGTCTATGGATTGTCCTATGCCTATGTTTTCCTCCCCCTGTAAAATAATACAATATTTGAACAAGGAAAAGCTGTGCCACAGTCATGACTCCCACATGCATGTGTGGGAATGGTGTCATCGCGGTTCAGCCATTCAAGAAGTCAGACCCGGTGAACACAGAAGAAAGACTGGGTGAAGGTAGATTTCCTGTCAGCAATGACAAAGCACCCCTGTAAATAACTGTTTCACCGATACGTCTGTCATAATCTGCTTGTATTTGGTGCATACTAGAAAATTATGACTTTACCCTGTGGGAGGGAGCGTTTTTTTTTTTTTTTTTTTCAAATGCAGTTTCCTACCACTTTAATGTGAAGCTAAAGTCTGCTATATGCGGGTGAAGTTTTGTCATAATTTGCAAATATGCTTGCAGAATTTCAGATCATGGCATGCTTAACTGTCAGTGGGCCTTGGTCCAGTGAGGACGTCTTTAACAACGACACTCGGCAGAGGAGAGCCTGGGCTGACGTCATCACGTCTGTTAGACATAGCAGCACTGTGATTTGATGTGTGTCCAGGTCCTCTCCCACCCTTGGAAACAAAAAATATGTTAATGACCATTCACACCTCAAATTCCTCCTGAAGACCCCCTGCCAGGTGGCCTTAATGACTCACTCCACCAGACACCTTTTCACCCTTGGAAACAAAAGAAATATTAATGAGCAACTCACACCCAGGGGCGGACTGACCATTTGGAAACTCGGGCACTGCCCGAGGGCCCGGGGTCAGTAGGGGGCCCCATGGGATGCCCCTGGTACCTTCTTCATAGGCTTTTTTGAGTTTGGGCAAGAACTCAGGGGCCCCATGATCCCTTATCGCCCGGGGGCCCCATGAGTTGTCAGTCCGCCCCTGTGTGTGTCTATATGTATTATTAAATGTGAATACCTTTCTTGCATGCAATAAAATAGTTTGGCAGTTTTACACTATGGTGCTTTTTTGTCTGCTTAATACTGAAATGATGGTGCATGCTGAGCGGAATTGTTAGTCATACTTGGACTCTGCTGGCTACCCTGATGGTTTTAAGTTGCTATACATAATTACCTCAGAGGTTCTCTGGTGTTCATAAGCATTTTAGACCTCTCTTTTCTCCTTGTAAGTGACGGATGTTATTAATGGTGATGGAACCCACAAAGAGATTCACAGAAGATTATAAGTGTCAACTGGCTATCACTTATGAAATAAAGGGGACTTTATGTCATTATGGTGTTTTGCACATTTGGGTGATTACACACGATTTATATTATTTGTGTTTGTTTGAATGTATTTTTGTGTTTAAAGGTACAGCACAACAATTTTAGTTTAATTTGCTACACATTTGTATTCTGATGTTTTTGAGTGCTGCTGTACACATATTTATTTAATTAGTTAGGTTTACATCAAGTGCAGTTTTTTGGGTTTTTGATTACTAATATTTGTGCTACCACTCCTACCTCCTACCACTCCATCCCCCACAGCCACTTCCTCCTGTGCCACTATTCCCTCCCTCCTAGATTGTAAGCTCGAAAGAGCAGGGCCCTCGAACCCCTCGTTTACTGTTTTGTTACTGTATTGTCTCATGTACTGTCCCCCACTACTCTGTACAGTGCTGAGCAAGCTTTCTGGCGCTATATAAATACTGTATAATAATAATAATAATAATAAACACACTTGCTTACTTATACCTACAGGTAAGCTTATAATAAAGCTTACCCATAGGTACAAGGAATATCTCCTATCCTTGCACCATTTAGGAGGTATGCACTACTTCTGCAACCATTGATGACACCTGTGCATGCACACTGCATTCTGAAGGGACGAAATGATGTTCATTCAGAGCGCTGTGCCCGTGACCATGGCTCCCGTGCGCATGTGCGGGAGTGACGCCATCATGGTTAAGCCATTCAAACAGCAGGAGCCCACGAACCTAGAAGGAAGACCATGTGAAGATGGAAACCCTGTCAGTGGTGACAGCATGCCACTGAGGGGATCATTTGAAGATATGTCTCTCATAATCTGCTTGTATACGGTGCATATAAGCACATTAGGACATCAGCTTGAAGGGGGCAAGTTGTTCTTTTTTTTTTTTTTGTGACACCCTACTACCGCTTAAAAAAAATACATGTCTGTTAAAATACACATTGAGGTGCATCAGTAGTTCATTTAAAATAAATTATTGCAACACACGGTACTGTGCAAAAAACTGCATCACAAAGCATAAATGGACTTCCCTAAAAAAATACAAAAGAAAAAACTGAGAAAGTGAAGAGAGATGAAGGATGGTAAGGAGGAAGATATTTGGTGCTAAAAAATAAAAAACAAAATACTTTAGAAAAAGAGAAAAACTAATCTAGTTGTGCTAGATTCATTGCTTGAGGGAAAATTGTAATTTTAATGAGAACGGGAAAAAAAGAGGTCATAAGGTTGATTGTCTTCACCATTTTTTTTTTGTATTTTGATAAACTGCATAGTAAAGGGTTTTTTTTCAGTCTAAGAATACTTAGTACATCCTACCATGCTATATCACTATACTTAGGGAAATAGCTGGGAGCTCTCCAGTTAAGCTGACACAGAGATTTCTATACCATACAACTGGGATTCTGATGCAATATGGTGATTTCTTCAATGGCATTATAGAGAGGGATGATTTTTTTTTTATCTGCACTGCACATAATTGGGTTGATATGCTACGCAAGTATATTATTTAGCTTAATTAAGTGTATCCAATTTGAGTTATTATTTTGTGTACCACACAATTTACTATTTTTACCTATGTCCATGATTTGGTGTTCAACGTGAACACAGGTCCACTTGGCTAAGTAAAAAAGGTGCTTCTTTAGAAATCTGATCCGAATTACTGTAATGATAGATTACATTTGTAGGAGGTGATTATTATGCTCTTACATGTTTCCATGTTTTTTTGGGAAAAAAAAAAAGACCAACAGTTACTGAAACCTGCAACCAAAAATAGTAGAATACTGGTATTAACCCAGATATGTAATCAATATTAAGATATAGAGAAAACATATTAGTTGTAGACATTTTAAATATACAAGTTAAACCATATTCTCTTGTGATTTATTTTGGAATAAACTGAGACAGAGTTAAAGATCCCCAAGTAAAATCTAAAATATGATTAAAGAAGCAATCATAGCATTGGAACCAAAATAAGGCCTAAAGTGTTTGAACACCTGACCAATGCTATA